GAGTGTCTCTGCCGTACACCAGCGCTGTGGCAGTGAGTTCTCACTGTGCCCTGTCAAGGGCTGCTGAGATATCCACACTGACGTGTGCAGATTTCTGCTTTCTTTCCTCCACAGCTCAGTGTGGGAATGGCACTTGCCAACCAGTAACACAGATAACTACTCACGCATCCTTGGGGAGAGCCTCATCTGACTAAAAGCCACGCCGGCTCTTCCGGAACAGAGCTGTCTTTTTATTTTTATTTTTTTTCCCAAAGAAACATTTCACTTCGCTCTCTCACAGCCATCACGAGATAAAAAACAATGAATCAACCAGAGATTATTTTTCATGAAAGTTTAATGAGGCGCTGTCCCCTTCCAGCGCCTGTGTGAGCCAACCTGGATGAGCACACAGGGCTGGAACGTGGAATTAAAAACTGTTGTCTGAGAGGCAAGAAGCGCAGGGAGAACCCTTTTCTCACTGTCTGTCTGCCTGGACAGAGCATCGTGCAAAGACTCATTGCTGGCTGTGCAACCTCTGTCCCTCTGCCCATCCATCTCCAGGCAGCAGCAGCCACTCCTGGCCCCTCCTCCCACTGCCTTCTCCTTCCCCTCCCTTGGCTGCTCCTTAATATTTCATGCATCAAAGAAGTTTCACTTGTAATGCAAAAAAAAAAAAAATCCAAAACCTGATTAATTAAGTAGAGTGCAAGAGTTACGTGCATTTAAAGTTTCTTTCATCTTGGGAAGGAGGGGAGCGATGCCGGAGGCTGCTATTGCTCACGGGTGTCTGAGGGCAGGCAGTGATGGACTGGCTGGTTGGTAGGGAGGGGAACAACAGTGTGCAGCATTCCTGCTGTCGTCTGTTCCAGCAAAAGCCTCACCCCCCTTGGTTCCAGTGGTTGGTTGCCTTCCAGTGGTCTCTGTGAGGCTCTCTCTCAGGCTATCCCTGCCTCCCTCTGCCCACAGGGCTGCTTGGAGAGGGGCAGCAGGGTGAGCTGTGTGGAGCTGGTGGCTGCAAGATGTCAGCACGTGGCAGGAAGTGCACCGAGTGCACCAATGCTGTGGTTATGAGCACCAGCTCACCTTCCCAACAGGACAAGCTGAGTTATCGATGCTGATGGGACTCAAAACACAGCCCTATGATTACACCACAGCTCAGACTTTCTTCTCCGCTTGCTGGCAGTCTGATTGGCGACATGTTAGCAGTGAAGATGTTCTGTGTATTGTAAATACAAGGTGCATTTTAATGGCTGTTGCTGTATGCACATCTCTTTGGTAATAGAGCCAATTGAAAGCCACTTCAGAAAGCTGCTATTGATAGCTTTGCGATAACCTCCCCGGTGCCAGCCGATAAAAGATGCATTAGCTCTGCGTGCCCAGAAACCCAGCGCCTGGGATTGGAAGTCGAAGAGTGCTTCATGTGTGACCCTTTAACTCGAATGATTTCTCTCTCCTCATCCTTTTTTATGCCTGGAAAGTTTGAGCATTTTAAGCATTTTCCAGTAAAATGTCTGCACAAAGTTCCTCGCAGAGGAACAGAATCACGGGTTTCTGAATCCCACCTGGGATATCATCATACAGATGAAACCAACCCCGGAGCTCAGCTTGGGAATAAGAAAGAAGGCAGCGCCTGAAACTTCAGCTGAAAGAAATCCGCTTGGGTGGAAAGCTGGAAGGAAGGTGGGCAGGTGCAGACAAGAGGTGGCACGGCACGTACGCTGTGCCTGCTGCACTGAGAGCATCCCACCGGTGCAGCTAATAGCTGAGGAACGCCCAGCTCACTCAGCCTGTGCTTTTGTGCTGGAAAACCCACATTTGGGATTGCCACACATACCATTTCTGCAACCTTTTATATCTGTTACAGCAACATCGAATTATTTTCTTTGCTATACGCAGGCACTGACACCAGCCTCCATGTGCTGATGGAGGGGTGGGAACAGCACTGGTGTGCCCTGAGCTGCACACTGGGTGTGAATGGGGCCACGGCCTCCTGACAGCCCATCACTCCCCCCTGCACCCCCAGCAGATGGGGCCTGTCAGCAATTCCTGCAAGACAAGCAAAGTTCAGTAAGTGCTCCTCAGTATCTTCCTAGCAGGAGGAACTTCCTTGCCGTGGTGTGTTTTCCTTTGCTCATAGCATTTGCTTTCCTATTGAATGCTGCTCAGGGTGGATAATAGAAATCCATTACCTCCGTTATAAACCAGGACAGAAATATTTCACTTTGCAAATATTACCGGTGGCTTTCAAACAGTTTTGTGTTTATCTCCATTCTTCAGAACTAAAAAGCAGGTGGAATCCTTTTTTTGCCACAGAGAAACTGAGATGTGTGCTTACGCTGGGGCTGCATTGAGGCTGAATGTGCTTATTTAAAGGCAGTGGCTTGAAGAAAGCTCCCCTTTATCATCATGCCCATGTTTGTACAGGAGAGCTTGCAGAAATCTCAGCTAGCTGCTAACTGTGCTTTACTGATGTGGGCATTAAGGCAAAATGAAATGGGTGTACAGAGGATTTCACACAGGGTGTAAGACAGACAGTGCTGATCTGGTTTTTGGGTAGAGGCACGGACAGAACATCCCCCTGAGGTCCTTCCCAGCTCTGTTTTTCTATTATCTCATGACTTGCTCAAAGATGGACAGTCAGCAGGAAAGTAAGCGTATGAACTCACGTCTCCAAAGCTTCTCTTTCCAACTCTGCACCCTAAAATCCATTCCATTCATTGTCCAGTGCCATATGCTACAGCAGAGAACAGCTAGATTAAGCTAGAAGATGCACTCCCCTCTTCAGTTCAGCCACAAGCACAAATCTGAAGGAATAAACCAGCACATCAATGCACAGTGCCCACTGGGCTCCATCCAGACCCCATGGGTTAGATTGCTTTCCCCTAGGTTTCCCATTGCTTCCCATAGGTTTCCCTTTGCCTTCTCCTAGGTTGCACCCATCCATCCCCTAGGTTTCCCCTGGTCTTCCATTAGGATGCCTCTTGCTTTTGCCTTGCCTTCCCTTAGTTTGGCCTCTGCCTTCATCTTGCCTTCACATGTTATCCCAAGGCCTTCCTTGAGGTTTCCCCTTGACTTCTTTCCTTCCCCTAGGTTGCAGCTTCCCTTCCCCTGGCTTCTCCTTGCCTTTGCCTAAGTTTCCTCTTCCCTTCCCCTGGTTTCCCCTTGCCTAGCAGTGTAGAAAGGTCTCTGCTCTGCATGGGACACCTGCAGGTATACACTGAGTGGCCACATAGAAGACCTAAGCAACAGGGATATGGCCCTACAGAGAAATAGTTCCTCTTTTTTTGCAGGATTTCCAGTTCTAAAAAATAAAAGTGCTCCTCATCTCCTTTTAGACAAACTGTCTTACCATGTGTCATTCTCTATGCCTATGCAATGCTGCTCCTTTGCTCGCTCCTTCCCAGAATCTTCAAAACGAGGCAAAAAAAATATGTGTGTGTGTAGTGACAGCATCCTCAGCCAGTCCCAAACCTACCCATTTCCCCTTAAAAATAATACCAACAGGATGGGTGGGGGAACCTTTTCTGCCGTGGTTGCAGATCTCCCAGCCCAATGCTCCCTGTGCACATGTGGATGCTCTCCATGGGGGCTGTGGTTGTTGGGCTGTGAGCTGGAACAGGGCACGGCTCCCGCTGTTTGTTTGCTGCATTTTGTCTCTGCCATTCTGCCCTTGTTGTGGTTTTAACACTCAGTGACCTGGGTATCTCGGAAGGCTGTTTTGCCTCAATAGGCGTATGATGAATTGATCTTAATTAGCTTGTGGAAATAATATAAGCCTGAGCATTAAGCGCTCTTTGTTAGGGTTTTGACATCTTCTTTCATCTGTACATCTACAAATAAAATCAGGTAGATTAGCAGTCACTCGGAAATTGTTGTTGTGAGTCATTGGCTCACAACTGCTGTGGGCTGCCCGTCCCCATTGCCGTGAGTCACTGCCCACCCGTGGGCAGCTCTTGGTGTTGGGGCAGGGCTCAGCCCCACTGAATTGTCTGTTTGCCTCCCAGCTGACCTCTGCGGTTCCAGCATCCCCCCCTGCAATTCCAACCTCCCATCCCTCTTGGCTCTGCTGTGGCTCAAGGCAGAGCGTGAGCCAAAACCACACATCTCTGGAGCTCTTCTGGTTGGTGTAAGCACACATCCAGCTCTCGGATGGTATCAGGGCACATGTGTGATGGATGGATATGGGCACCTGTGATCAGACCTCAGCAGCATTTTGGCCTCCCAGTTCAGTGCCGGCTGTTAAAGACCAGGTCAAAAATCTGCTATAAGTCAGCTCCGTGGCTGCCCCAGGCTCAGCACTGAGAGCCATCTCCATGTGCTATGGGACCTGATGGCTGTTCACCTGCAACCAGCTAATGAGCAAAAGCTCGCAGGGAGCTTCTGTGCTATTGCAGCCAGGCTGAGCCTAAAGGGAAGGATAAGCCTGTGAGCACATGCAGCAATGAGCTACATCCAGAAAGTGAGCAGACGTGGAAAAGCTGGATAAGTAGGAAAAGGATGGTCTGCAAAGGGCGGTGGTGACGGGAGAGAGATGTGATGGCATGGGGAGAAGGGAGAGGATGAAGTGCTGGAGCAGGATGGCAGGAGAGGCACGACGGTATGGCACAGCGCTAGGGAGAATCACAAGACCACAGCCGGGCTCAGGGGGCCTCAAGATCGCCCTGCCGTGAGCACGGTCACCAAGCACTCGGATCGGGCTGCCCGGGATTCCACCTGCAGGCTGCTACAGGTAGCGAGGGAACCGGGGCCCGTGTTAACCTTACGGCGAGGAAAAGCCGACGGCGAGAACGGAGCCCGCTGCGAAACGAGGGCGGCCCTGCGGAGGGCGGCGGGCGAACGGGACCGGTGGGCGACGGGCCTGGATCCGAACGGGGCCGGGGCGGGGCGGGGGCGGAGCCGGGGGTGGAGCCGGGCGGCGGCGGCGGCGGCGGGCTGGGGCGGCTCAGTGCGCCCGGCGCCGCTCGCGTCTCCCCGCTTTGCCTCGCGTCGCTTCGCCGCGGTTCTCCCGCGCCCGGCCCGGCATGGCCGCTCCGCCGCGCCGCCGCTCCGCGTCTCCGGCCCCGCTGCCGCCGGTTCCTCCGGCGCTGCTGGTGCTGGCGGTGCTGCTGGGCGGCGGGCCCGGCGCGGCGGCGGTGGCGGCGGCGGCGGCGTCGCGGGAACCCCCCGGTCCGTGCCGCGTGAAGACGGTCACCGTGTCCACGCTGCCGGTGCTCCGCGAAAACGACATCAGCTGGAGCGGAGCCCCGCCGCCCGCCGCCGCCGATTCCCGTCTGCTGCTCTTCGTCCGCAGCGAGCTGCCCGGCCGCGTCGCCGTGCAGGACGATCTGGATAACACCGAGCTGCCCTTCTTCACCCTCGGTAAGCGGCGGCCGCTCCCGGCCCGGCTCTGCCCGCAGCGCCCGCAGCCCGCAACGGCACCCGGCGTTGCTTCGCGGCTTTCCGCTCTCTCTCTGTTCTTGCAGAAATATCGCTGTTATTTTCTATGGGGAGGGATTTCAGCGGGGCCTGAGCGCTGCCCGTGCTCACCCTGCGAGTCAGCGCTCCCTGCCCAGCTCCGGGCTCAGCCCCGGGGGAGGCACGGCGGAGCCGGGATCTCTTCTCGGCAGCCCGCATTTCTGAATGCTTCGTCTCGGTGCTCTTCAGCTCGTTCTTGCTTCGTGTCCAACTCCCTTGATAGGCTCTGTTGCGGAACATCTGCCGACTTTCTCCCTGTTTCAGCCTTTGTGGGGAGGGGGATTGCGCTGCAGATAGCCGTATCGCCGTGCTTGGGTGTCGGTGCACGGGGTCGGGGTGCCCCGGCTTCGTTCGGTCCCTTTCAGCCCTTTGTGTGCCGTAAGCAGCGCCGCTCAGCCCGAGCGAGCTGCTCAGAATTCTGCGTGGAGTGCTCGCTGTGTGCTGTGCCAGAGCGCCGACGGCTTCTGCTGATCTCTTTAGCCACCGGCTTTCTCGCTTTTTGGTATCTGTACATAAGGTAATCCCTGCTGAACTTTGTGTCTGAGCTGCCGCTCGGCACAGCTGGGCTGCGTGCAGTGGGTGCCCAGAGCTGCTCTGTGTGGGCACTGAGCACCGTGTCCCCTCGTGCAGTGACCGCTGCCCTCCAGGTGCAATGGGAGATCAGCCGGCTGTGCCTCCCCCTCCCTCCATCCCCCCTCCTGTGAAGCCTCATAGCAAATCCCTGCAATAGATGAGTTGGTGACACTTCTCAAACTGAGCCTCTTCCATCCTGCCTTTGCCATGTGCCTCCCTTCAACGCAACCGCTGAAATCCCCCACAGCCCAGCTGCTCTATTTCAAGTAATAGAAGTGGGAACCCAAGGCTGGGTGCAGTAGGAATGACGTTTGCCTTACAGTGATTAAAAGTAACAACAAGTTTTGTGGTTCACTGCCTTGAATTTCCCGATTAGAGCATGGTTTCTTCAGGGACTGAGGGTGAATTGGGCACTGATCTAAATATATCAGAAGGCAGAGAAACCCCTCTGCGTGCAGTGTAGGTTACAGCTCAAGTTGGAGGAGAGAAATGTGTCTTGATAGATCGGAGACGTGATCTTGTCTTGCAAATCCTATTGCTGTGACTGACTGCTGGTAGAGAGACCACGGCTTGGTCTGAGAAATCCCTTCTTCTTGCCCGGGGTGTTGGTTATGTGTGTTCTCTGAAATACAAGGCACGTTTCTTGCAAAGCTGTGTTTCTGTCGCTGTCACTTTGCGGATGTGAGACCCGGGCTGTGCAGGTGTAGTGCAGCTAAATGGGGCAGTGGGATGGCTGGTGTAGGCCTGAGAGCACTCGGTGGGATGCCGTCCTGAGAAGGGAAAGCCCTCATCCTTCCCCACAGTCTGTCTTGTGGATTGTGGTGGATGCTCTGATATCTCAAATCTGTTGTGTTTCTTCCCATTCCTGGAGTGGCAACTGAGGCTCACGCTTAGCTGTGCTATGGGTCAGTGCTTTGCTTTTCGGCTGCTGGCAGTGAAGTTTGGTGCTTGTTTCCTGCTGCTCCGTCTCCATCTAAACTGAGCAGTGGTTGGAGACTGACTGGAGAGCTGCTGCTGCCTCAAAGTGGGCTCTCGGAGGTGAGAATTGTGCTGCTGGTGGGAGATCAGTGCAATTGACTAAGCTGGGTTTGCTTTAAATACTTCCCTGTGCCAAATTCTTTGGTAGTCCCCATTGATGGTAAATTTCTGACATTTGTGTGTGTGTTGCTGGATGTGTCTGCTGGGTGTCTAGGCTGGAACAGAGGGAGATGTGTAAGGGCTGAAGTCCCACTGCTTTCCAGCGTGACAGAGGCTCCTCAGTGCCTCTGAGACCAGGCGTGAGCACGGGCTGCTGGCAGCTCAGTGGGTGAGGCTGTGGTAAGGAGCTCTCTTAAAACCCGTGCCCGGTGCTGGCATTGTGGTTTCCGAAGAAGTGAAATTATTTGGAATAAAGATGTGATCCTGTCCATGTGCGGCATGGCGGCTGCTGGGCACTGCCCTTGCTCTCCCTGCCAAGTGCTGCTGCCACACACTGCCCTGCTCCATCCCGGGGCCAAAGCTCTTTCAGGCATTAAAGCATTGCCCTGACATGGGTATGGGTTGGTTTGAGTGCTGTAGCTGCAGGAGGTGACCTATCCTCTTTTGGGTCCTGAGCCCCGCCGTGCTGCTGGAGGATGGGGGTCTGCAGCTGGAGCCTCATCTGCAGCAGTGCAAAACTTCTGCTGGATTTGCAGGCAGACGGGTGGAGGGAATGGCTGCTTGGAGCTGGTGGGTGCTGCAAAGCACAGCCAGGAGCCCTGCTGGGTGGGAGGTGGCTCTGTGCTGTTAAGGGGTGGTGGGGGCCCGGTGTGGCCCCAAACTTTGTTCCCTCCTCGCAGTGCTCCTGGCTGTGACAGCAGTGCCTGCAGGCAGCACTTGGGGCCTTTCTCTCCAGGTCTGAGCCATGTGTTCCCTCTATGGATGCACAAAGGATGGTTCTCCCTTTTCCCCATGCTTGCATTACTTGAAAATCACACAGCAAAGCGCGGTGATGGCAGGAGATGACAAATGTAACTTCTCCACCAGCGCATTATGAATTGCTGCGCATCCCGTTTCCTGAAACAGCCTCCTGCCCTTTCCTTAACCTTGGATACAACCGATGCTTTGCGGCATTATTTTTTTTCCCCCCCCCACCTCTCATTCCTCTGGTGTTACATTGCGAATGGCGCAGTGTGCCATTGACTTTGTTCCTGCACGATGAGGCTGTGAGGTGTGTGCTGTGCTGCAGTCCGTGCCGTGCACCATGCGATAGCAGCACTCTGCCTGAAGTGCAATTTGGGAGCGGAGCAGTTCGCTTCCGTGCCTCGTTTGGATGAGCTCAATGTGCACACGGATATAGAGGGAGGAAGAGGCAAGCAGGCAGGCAGACGTTTGCTGCTCTTAGCCGATTGTGGCTTACATAAGGATGGTTTACTTACATGGCTTTGGTGGTGCAGCGTGCCCCGCGTGCAGTGCTGGGGCTGTCAGAGTGGTGCTGTGTATCGCCTGCATCCATCCCAGTGCAGGTATCTCCATCCTGGAGCCATGCAGCTCCTCCAGCACTTCTCTTTTTTTCTCTGAACTTTTCTCGAAGCCATTTTGGAACTTCTCTTTTTCTCCGGGATAAGAATGCATTAAAATAATGGAAAGCACTTAGTTCCCTGTAGATTGTTTGAATTTACTGCTTTTTTTTTTTTTTTCTCCTTTTTTCTTTTGAGCAGACGTGAGCAGGGTTTTGCTGCTCTTTGCTTTTGTCAACAGCTGTGGGTTTTGTGGAGCAGGTGGGGAGACTGAGGGCTGCCAGGAACCCTGCTGGGAATGGAGCTTTTTGGTGCTGCTTTAAAGGAGGGCAGGTCCTCCAGGTGCACAGCCTGCTGGGCAGAGGTGTAGTCAATTAAGTTCTATTTTTTATTTCTTTTATATTGCAGTACCTGAGGTTTAGGTCAGATCTGCATGGATGGGGACAGCCTGGGGAGGGCAGTGGCACTGCAGTGCTACTGAATGCTGTGGTTGCATTTATCCCTGTGAGCCCTGGGAGGGGGGTTCTGGGCTCAAGGTCCCTCCACAGTGGATGCAGGGGTGTGAGCCCTATAGCACCCAGAGGGCTGTGGGCACAGAGGTGTTCCTTGGGGTGGGTCAGCCCTGAGATGAGCGCTGACCCCAAAGCGAAGTCAGACGTGGCACGTCCAGCACGGTCAGGTGGGCTTGCATGGATTTGGTTTTGTCTCCAGGAGAGAAATTCCCAGCTCAAACTGGAATCTGTAGCTGTACTGGAAGCTGTACTCGGGGAATTGCTGCTTTCCAAGAGTACCCATGTTGACCAGCTAGTGGCAACAGAAGATTAACTATAGCAAAGCAGGCAGCGCTGCGCGGCGGGGCTGGCGGCTGGAAGGCTGTGCTGGGATCCTCTGCTCCCCACGGCAGCAGCGGGGTTTGGGATGTTGGTGTGCCAGGAGTGAGCTTTGTTACTGCAGGGAGAAATGTGCTTTTCTCCGGGAGGTTTCTCTGTGCACACTGGGGCTGGGATGGGGGGTGAGTGTTCTCCAGGGCAGCCTGTGCTCAGTGCAGGAGGGAACTGCCTCCAAAATGCGCTACCTGTGCCTTTCTAAGCCCTGGGTATGGCTGTGAAGCTGGGATGGCTGAACAACAAGCCTCGGGGCTGCCATAGTGATGGGGTGCTGCTACTGGAACCCCCTGAGCTGATGGGCTGTGCTGGTGCCAGGGAAAGGAATGCAGGCACAGGTCTGTGTGAGCCAGGATGGGAACAGATTGATGTCACCTGTGGGAGCAGTGAGGGGCTGATCTCATGCTGCTGGCACATATGTTAGCAGTCACAGGTGGCTGGAGAAGCACCTCCCAGCGCAGCAAAATGCCTGGTGGAGCATGGGGGCAGATGGGCTGGAGGGAAAAGGGGAGGAAATAGAAATGCTTTGGTTGAAGCCTTTCATTGACAATGCTGTCCCCATGGCGCAGCTCGTTTTGGGAATTTCCCTCCTGCATTGGGCAGTGGGAGACCTCAACCAGCCCTCCTCGCTGTGCCGGCATCGGGCAGGGATCTGCCTGTGTGCAACGAGCTGAAAAAGTGGTGCCACTTAAAAGAATTGAATGCTCGTGCTGCTGCTCGGGTCCCGGCTAATTTGGTTAAGGTTTCCAGTGTCCAGACAGTATGGAGACACTTAATGGTATTGAAGAAGCAGAGTGGTATGCGGAGGGGGTGAGCAGCAGTCGCGGCTTCCTGCGTCTGCACTGCTGGGCAGAACTTTCTGGCAAGGAGATGGGGCAGATAGGGGCTGGCAGGGAGGGAGGCACATGTACTTGGGGGAGACACGAGTCCCTCTGTTTCTCATTACCAGATCCCTGCCAGTCTTGCACCC